CGCTCCCCTTTTGAACTTATCCCAGTCCACAGCATTGATGGCGGCATTGCTGCCCTTGATGTCACTACCATCGACAACAATTCCCGTTGGCTCAGATTCTTGGGTGGTTTTTGATGGTTCAATTATCTTCTTATTCTCCTTGCTTTTTCCCCATAGCACCATGTACAATCCACAAATAATAAGCACCCCTCTTAATATGCTGTAAATTAATTCAGAAAAATAATTAGAAAATAAAAATTAATTAAAAAAGAAAACAGGCGAAATAATTTAATTTACCTTCCTAAACGCAAGTCTTTATTCAAAAACAAAGCTCCAATACGGAGATCGTGGTTGTCAAAATCATGAATAAAATTATAAAATTTTATGATTCTACATATGCAATCCATGTAAAATTAAAGTCAAAATTAAAATTCCATAAATTCAGAATAATAAAATCGTAAAATCATAATAAATTTTAGATTTTACAAATATGAAAGGTTTTATAAATTTTTGTGTCAACCTATAATAAACACACCAGTGCATTGGTGGAGCTGTGCTTGCAAGGCTATACATGGATTGTTCGGTGGTGGTTCGAATCTTGACAACGTAATTTGACAATTTTGAGTTTTCAAGCAAAAATTTTAAAGTTTTATCAATTTGTTATAAGTTAAACTAATAATATTTTATTATAAAATTTAAAATAATTTAATAATTGTAAAATAGAAAAACGTATAAAAAAGATTTCAAATAATTAATTAGTAATAAAATTTTTTAAATAAATTTTAAATTTTAATATTTGATATTAAATTTTAGTAACATATAAATTTTAAATTAATTTAGTAAATTATCAATTTTATTCATTTAATTTTATGATTCTGATTTTACTTCACCAAAATGATTTTACTTAAAATCTTGATTTTGACAACTTTGTGCCGGAGACGATAACAAACGTCAGTGGGCTGAAAACAGAGACGAACAGGGGACGTCTCTGGTGAGCACACCAGGTTATGAACTTATGAGGATCACCACCAGCCCAGCAGTCACAATTCCCTACAATTAAGGCCCATGAGTATGAGCAATGTCTTCGCCAAGTTCGGCCCAGAGGTGATGAGGACAGAATATGGATGTTTACCGTATAGGTCGCTTTGAGGAGCCTTATATTGAAGCCCAGCTTCCAGTCAGCCCAATTCCTCTCTATGCATAATTTAAAAACAACTGACTGAATTGAGCCCATTATACACATCAGAGCGGCGCTTGTATAATGGGCCAGATATCTCCTACTCATCTTAGCCTAGCCACCAAAAAGCCCAATTCAGCTTTAATTTAGTGGCTTACTGTAAACAATAAAAAAAGACAAAAAAATACTAGTATGCAATTCAAAATATATTAGATTGTATAATAAAAATTATTAGATAAAAAAAAATCTTATAATTTTAAGGATATTTTTTCTCACATAATTATTTTTATTTTATAATTGAATACAGCCTAAACTATAAAATAAATACTTTAATAAATAAAACAATAGGCATATTTCACCTGAACTATTAGCTACAGTGAATAAGATACACAACTCCAAAGGGCCCTTAGAGAGCCCCAAACATGGCTACTGATGCCTCTCTAGATGATGACACGTGTTGACCATGCCACGGATGGTGCCGTAAGCGGACAAGTGTTGAAAGTTAACTTTCTATTTTTAACAAGGGCAATTATAGACGAACTTATGGATTGAAGAAGCACTAATGACTCTTAAGTTATGTGTAAATATTTAAGTAGTTAATAAGGTTTAAATTTTTAATCAATTTTAATCAAATATTAAGATTTAAGAGTAAACCGAGTTCAAAAGTTATCAATATTGATATGAAAATAGAGAGAGAATGAGTGTTAGAGAGAGAAAACTAGAGAGAAACCCAAACCCGTTCACCCCATACCCCCCGGTTGGTCTCAGGCCACCGGGAAGACCCCAAACCAAAACTGAGCGACCACCGGTGAGAGAGGGTCAGACCCAAAAACCACAACAGTTTCATTTCCCTTCGAGGAGTAGGTTGCAGGGGCTCGAGAGGACAGATCGAGAGGGCAGATTCAGAGGATTGCGTCGTCCATCTTTCGGCTATGGGAAGGGTGTTCTGTAGAGAGCTACTCCATTCTTCTTCACAAACTTCCCAGAAGAGTGGGAGATGGGGGAAATGTGGAAAGTGTTCATCAAGGTAGGAAGAGTGATTCAGGTGTTCATTGCAAGGAAAAGGGACTTCAAAGGCAGACGGTTTGGCTTCGTAAGATTCTTGGAAGTGAAAGACCCAAAGGCAGTGGAAAATCATCTAAATAGTATTACAATAGGCCAATATACCCTCCAAGCAAACCTGGCAAGATTTTCCAAGGATGAAGCCCAAAGGAAGAAGGTAACAAATAAGGTCCAGCTTAAAAAGCATGAAGGGAGCACAGGCTCCAGTGGGATGCAAAGAAGAGGAACCCGAACATATGCAGAGGTTGTGAGATCAGGCCAAAGAGAAATGATTATCAAGGAAAGACCAAGTTGGGAGTGGAAAAGAAAGGACCGAGAAGGTGCAAACAAGGCTGAAAAGGAAGGATGGTATGGTCTGGAGTTTGGGGTTGAAGACGAAGACATAAGGGAGCTGGAAAAATGTTTTATAGGCCATGCAAAATGCCCAGAAATCATCAGCACCCTCCAAGATAAATTTGCTATGGAAGGCTACTTTTTAGCCAAAATTACTCCAATGGGAAGCAACCTTGTGTTGCTATCAAGTGGGGACACGGAAGAACTCAAACATCTTGTAACTGAAGGCCGTGACTGGCTAGCTCAATGGTTTACTGAAGTTAAACCATGGTCCCCAGAGGTAGTGGCAACCGAAAGATTTACATGGCTTAGATGCCAAGGAGTGCCAATCCAAATATGGAAGAGCAATTTCTTTGAAACAATTGCATGCATGTTCGGAAAATTCATATCCTTGGATGGGAGCACTATTAAAAAGTCAAGATTAGATGTGGCAAAGATTTTGATTTTGACTCCACAACAGGAAAACATCACCAAGGTCCTGAAGATTAAAGTAAGGAACCAATTCTTCAGTATAAGGATCAGTGAGGAAGTAGGAGTGGACAACATATTCTCGCTTCGACCAGATTTCGTCCTATGCAGGAATGAAGACTCCTCATCAGAATCATGGTCAGAAGGATCTAACTGGAGCGCTACCAATGAGGTAGAAAGCTGGAATCAATGGGAAGTGGTGGAAGCTGAGAAAGGAATAGAACAGAGGAACAAAGGTGAACAATCTCGGTGGCCAGAAACTTCACCGGCGGCAACGGAGTTTGAATGTGGTCTAGAGATGTTAGAAAAATCTGACAGAGCAATTAATGAGGAGCGGCAAACTTCAAATCAGCATGGTATTGAAGGACCCGAGGAGAACGATATGATGAACCGTTGGGGAAATGAGTCACAAGATAACGAGGGTCAGATCCAGTTAACATCAGAGGAGGAAGGAGGCAAAAGTGTGCAAGAAGACCCATACCCTCCAGGTTTTGGCCCAAATCAAAGGGTATTGGGCCTTTCACAAGAAGATGAGCCAATGCATCAGTCAACGGAAAGTAAGTCGGTGGAGCCCCAAGAGCAGAGGGCATTTAATGTGAATGTTGACAAAGGAAAGGAAATAGAAGCAGTGGAGTACAGCTGTGTTCAAGGGGAGTTCGGCAAAGATTTTGAGGATCTTGTCCACAGTAAGAAGATGAGCTAAGCAAGAAAGAAGCAGAACATGGAAGAAGAGTCAATCGAAGAAGAAAGGAGAACCAAGCCATTCTGGGAAGGCCTGGCAAGTGACGACGAGATCTTTCAATCTAAAATGGAGAGGATAGCTCGGCAGAGAAAAACTGGAAAAAAGAAGGTGAAACAGAGGAGGTTAACAACAAGGAGGAAGGCTCACCCGGATCTTGAATCAGAGCTACACTTGAGGAAGAAAAGACTCATAGCTGAAAAGGAAATTCAAATGGATGAGGGGGTGACCGGAGTATATCAAGTATCAAAGAACAGCATCGAGGAAGAAGCGACAGAAATATGGAGAATAGGGAATCAATTGGGGCTAGTCGCCAAGAACAACTAGGAAGAAATTATTAAAAGACTTTGTGACATGGAGAAGAGAGACAAAATAGAAGTGGCAAAGCATAGAGTGGCGGAAGCAGAGAAACAGGGAGCAAAGCCAACGAACCCATGAAGATCTTGTCTTTCAATGTAAGGGGTCTGGGGAAGAGCAGCAAAAGAAGAGCAGTGAGGGAACTGATCAGGAAGGAGAAGGTTGAGATGATTTTCTTACAAGAGACAAAGCTAGAGCTAATCAATGATAAAGTGGTGTACTCTATAT